TCTGTCTTGCTAGAGTTGAGCTGAAGCCGGCTTCTCCCATCCACCCTCACCGTCTCCAGGCACTGGGCAAACATCACCTGTCTAACCTAAATAAGCACTTCTGAGAAATGTCAGAGCAAAAAGTGTTTACTTGGAGAGAGAAACTGCTTTATTTATTTATTTTTGCAATTTCTATAGCTGTCCAACTCAATCCAAGTGACTCTGGATTTTAAGAGAGAGGAGATGATAAAATCCTTAGCATAAAGCAAAAACTGAAATCAAAACAGTAGGGCATTCCCTATGGCCAAGAAAAAGAGGCATGGTTGTAGGTGCCAACGTGAGGCAGGTGATTCCTTGGCAGCACTTTTTCTCTTTAAGAGGTGACAATGTTGGGCAGGAGGAAAGACCCACGGGAACAGGGACGCCCAGGGCTCATTGCTGCAAGCCAGAAGGCTCGCACTTTTGTCATGTTTATCTGATGTTTGACTTCTCAGATACATTTGGGGATGAGACGTTCCTTTGTTACTGCTGACACCTGCTCACAAAGAGAGGGGGTGGACTCCCCTTTGTGGACAGCCCTCTGTTGAGGGGCTTTAACTTGGTTCCCTTCATGGGGTGGGGTTGGACTCATGGCTTCCAGGGCTTCTCCGATGCCACAATTCTAGGATGAGATCAAGAGGATGATGTGATGCCTGACTGTTCCAGGTGACTTTAAGATGTGAAGGAGGGCTGCAGGTGGGCCTTCCTGCTCTCCCGGCCCATCACCCCTTCCTGTGTCTTGCCAACAGGTGATGGCGCAACAATGCTGGCGGTGCATCCTGGTCTTGGAAGTGGGCTAGAGACGAGGGCAGGGCGGTTGCCGGACCAGGTAGGAGACGAGGGCAGGGCAGTTGCCGGACCAGGTAGGAGATGGGGAATGGGATGGCCGGAGTGCTCTGGATTCCTCTTTCTCTTACGCAGCTCCCCTCAACCTCCCCTGGGCCTGAGCGAATCTGGCTTTTACTGTTTTTTCAGTGGCTGGTGACTTTAGAAGAGGTGGCTGTCTCCTTCACAGAGGAGGAGTGGGCGCTGCTGGATCCAGGCCAGCGAGCTCTCCAGTGGGAAGTCATGGCGGAGAATTATGGGAATCTGGCTACTCTGGGTAAGGATTGCGGCCCTTGCCATTCGTCGGGTCTTCACAGAACCCTTGAGTTGGAAGGATCCTGGGAGGTCTTCTAGTCCAGCCCTGCCCAGGGCAGGAATCCTCAGGTCATCCCAAGCAAAGGGCCATCCGGTGGTGGAACCCCCCACCCCACCCCAGCCCCAAGAGGCAGGCTGGTCCACTGCTTCACGGCTCTCATGGGCAGGAAATTCCTCCCTCCTTATTTTGAGTTTGGGTCTCCCTCTGCAAAGCTTCTGCTTGTAGGTTTCTGTTCTACTCTCAGACACCACGGGAATCAATCCGCCCCCTTTTCCCTGGGAGTGCCCTTCAGAGGTTGGAAAACCACTCTCACGTCTTCTCTGAGCCTTCTCTTTTTTAGGTTAAACACATCCACTTCTTTTAGCCATAGCATTTAGCCTCCAAACCCCTCACCATCTTTGCTGCTTTTCTCTGCACTCTTTCCAGTTCCTCAGCATCTCTCTTGTATGGTGGTAGCCAACCAGGTGTGTCTGGCCAGGGCAGCATGGAGCAGAGCCATCACTTTCTATGATCTTTATGCCCTGCCTTAGCCATAAGTTGCAGGCCTTCAAAAACTGAAATCAAACGTTGACTTAGTCTTAGAAATAAGGCAGTAACCTAGCCCGGAGGAAGAAGAACCAACAAAACTCCCAGCCCCACTTAGTGATTTGCAGCTGTAGGTCAACCTACAGTTTCCTAAGCTGAAGATTACCATGGTTGCTGGTTCAGTTCACACAGTGGGCTAAGCGCTTGCTTGCTTACGTCTGGCTTCCTGCCTGAGGCCCAGTTGGCTGGTTCAGACATAAAAGGCAGTCGTAGACCGTGGCCCCAAACTGCAGAGTCTGGCTTCAGGCTAGTCAGAACCAAACAACGGCCTTTTGTCTTAAAGTGAGATGTGGAGCCAGATTCTCGATGATCTCTGTTGGTTTGTGCTTCTCTTGGAAGTCAGCCAAGGAAACCAGGTGGGGCCCAGAGCAGAAATGTCAGAATGCTGCTGGCAATCAGAAGGTCAGAGGAGCTGTGCCAGATCCGGCCAAGGGCTGCCTCATTCTGCCTCGCCCTTTTCAGCAACACAGTCAGGCCGGAGTCTCCCTTCTGGGGCTGGGGAAGGTCGGTCCCTGACTGTGCAAAAAAGGCTTTGGCCCTGTGGAAGGGAGCGGGTGCGCCTCCTCCGATTTCCGCCACGAGCCAGAGGGGTCTGAGAGGCTGCGTGCGTTGCTGGCTGCTTTACAGGTCACCTTTCTTGATTTGCTCCTGCTCGACGGGACTCCAGCTCACACGGTATATTTTGTCATTGGTCCGTTGCAGTTGGGCAGCTAATAAATTCAAATAAATATAAAATAAAACAAAATAAAAAATAACCTGGAGGTAGGTTTTGGAGCTTTTTAATTCCATTCTTCTTCAGTTTGTTTGACCTGCTTTTTAAGAGGTGCCTCTTTGCTGAGAAGAGGGGGAAAAGATTACAGATGGAGGGGCAAAGGTTGGGGTTGTTTCAGTCTGACGCTTTCTCTCTGTTGCAGGAGAGGTGGTGGAGAGTGAGAGCAAGGTGCAACAGCAGAGAAGGAAACCGGAGTCCCAACAGCAGGCATGGTCCGAAGGCCCCGACCTCTGCAGCTTTTCGGCCCAAGGAGCACATTGGGGAGGGAGAGAAAGGCAGGCGACACCTTCGTGCTCAGCAAGCTTAGCTGGTGAGTCAGGCGTGAGGAGGAGGAGGCACCCCCGCATTCACAAGGGAGAGGCTGTCCTGAAATGCTCTGAGTGTGGCAAGAGCTTCAGCCGGCGTTACAGCCTAACTAGGCACCAGCGAGTGCACACGGGGGAGAAATGGTGGACCTGCTCTGTCTGTGGCAAGAGCTTCAGCCAGAGGTACCATCTGACGAGGCATCAGAGGATACACACGGCTGAGGAATGGTGGATTTGCTCCGTCTGCGGAAAGAGCTTCCGCTGCAGCAACAGCCGGATCAGGCACGAGCGGATTCACACGGGGGAAAAGCCCTTTGTGTGTGCCGAGTGCGGTCGGCGCTTCAGCGAGAGCTCGACTCTTTACAAACATCAGAGGGTGCACACGGGAGAGAAGCCTTATAAATGCTCCGAGTGTGGAAAGAGCTTTCGGCAGAAGATCAATCTGACGAGGCACCGCACTGTTCACACGGGAGAAAGACCATATCCATGCTCTGAGTGCGGAAAGAGCTTCAGTCAGAAGGTGAGTCTGTCCTTGCACCGTACGATCCACACGGGGGAGAAGCCATACAAGTGTGTGGAGTGCGGAAAGAGTTTCACCCAGAGGGTAAACTTGACTTCTCATCAGAGGACCCACACAGGAGAGAAGCCCTATCAGTGTCCCAAGTGTGGGAAGAGCTTCAGCCGTAGTAACAGTCTTGCCGATCATCTGAAACATCACCTAAACCTCCAGTGTGCAGCAAATCTTAGGTTGCACCGCCAGCAGCCATGCTGGAAAGACCCCTGTGAATGCTCAGGATCTTTGGCAAGAGAAGGACAGGCGATGCGCTGCGGCATGGCTTGTCAAGGGGCGCCCCCTGGGCAATGAAGCAGAAGGGTAACGCACTGCGTAAAGGTTTGACGGGGGGCAGCCTTCCCTTGGCATCCCAGGCGCTGGACTGGCAGGGAAGGACTGCGAACAAGTTTTTGCCGAAGCCGGATTCCTGCAGGGTCTTGGGAGCTTCTGGTGGGGAACAGCCAGCCAGCCTCGACTTCCGTGTCCCCTTTCCAAACTCTCCCAGCCACGGAGGTCTGAACTGTGTCATGAGATGGTGGTGGCTCTGTTCACAGAAGGGGATAGATGGAGGTGAGCAGAGGCTCTGCAGAGGAGGTCCAAATGGAAATCTCTCACCTTTTCCCATTCCACACCAGATGTCTTAACGGAAGTCCCCACAGGGGCAGGAGGGTGGGGCCTCCATCCAGCCTGGGTTCCTAATGGGTGGTGAGCAGAAGCCATCTGCCTCTAGTCAAGGAAATAACTGGAACCGTCATGGTCAGGTGCCGCTTACAGCCTTATCCTCTGTGAATTTTGTTTAACGCCAGCCTCAGTAGCTTTCTCCCTCCAAATAAAGAGCAGTGCTCCTGTCCGTGCATAGAGTGCCCTTCTCTCCTCCCACATAAAGACAGGTGCCTTCTGCAGCAGCCTCTGGAGGCATCGTGTAGGCAGCAGGGACGATGCTGAATCTACCAGGAGTGACACTGCTGCTGCTGGATGGGCTCCAGTTAAGTCCTATTGCAACCAAGGAGGAACCTTGCCAATTGTCTCTAGGAGCCTGGATCAATCATAGAATGACACCTTTTAAGTGGGGCGGGGGGGAGAGGCACTCCCCTTTGCCAATGGGGAAAGAAACACAAGTGCCAGAAACACCACAAGTTTGGGTTGGACATCAGGACAAATTACCTAATAGGGAGAGCTATTCAGCAGTGGGATTAGCTGCCTCAGGAGGGAGGGGTGTTTGTTTCAGCTGAGGCTGGAGGACCACCTCTCCTGCAGGTCGGGGCACCATAGCAGTGCTCCAGGTTGCCTCCCAGCCCTGACATCCCAAGAAGACCTTGGCTTGGGGCGAAGCCTTCCCCGACACAGAGCAGAATGGGCCCCGATGCTTTTCTGCTTTGAAAAAGAGTAACTTGTCTGCATCAGCTGAAGCTAAGTGGGTGAGCGACACAAGGGGCTTTCAGTTCTGCAGAACAAAACAGAACAATTATCATATTGTCCTGGCCTTGGTCAAATGCCTTGGCCAAGACCAAAGCCCTGGGGGGCTCCATCGCCTGCCTCTCAGGGGAAGGCCATGATCCCTAACCCAGGTGGCTTCTCTCACCTTGCCTAGCAGAACAATCAGCCCTGACTCTCAGTTCTTTTCCCTTCCTTCCTGGGTAGCAATCCAAGTCCCATACACTGTGTAATGGACAGTGTAGTCCATTACATTGCAGCCTCTTGGTAGGGACTCTTACTTGCACAATGCTTAAAGGTGAGTCATCAACAGGTGCCGGAAATGTAAAAACAGCTGGAGGACCCGTGGCCCTCCAGGTGTGGCTGGACCCTTGAGTTCCCTCTGTCCCATTCAGCTGACGGAAATGGCATTGCCAGTGCTGCTCCTGGAGGAAGCAGCCTTAGGCTTTGGGGGTTAACCTGAGTAAGTGGATGCCTGGGTTCCTGGAAGAGAGAGGAGGAGGCTTCTGGCAGGCCTTCTGGATTCCCCCCTCACCCCAGCCTCCTCCCTCTGCTCCCCATTTCTTTCTCTCATCTGGGGATAAGCGCGCACAATGCTCAGGTAACGACTTTCTCTCTTCTGGCAGCTTGCAGGGATAGATTGGGGTGGGGGACAAAAGGGGGTGGGGGTATCAAAGGCATTCTTTTAGTTCAAACCTTCTTGTAGCAACTTTGTTTATCCATGTTTCTGCTTATAGATAGCATTGCATTCAGGGGTTGAAAAAGTAAATATTCTGTTGTGAAATGTTGGGTTTTGAAAATGGGCACTTAAACATGGGCACAAACACTGATGGAGATGCAGAGTGCCTCCCCCATCATGCCCTCCTCTCCTGCCCATTCAGAGTCACTTCCCTCTTGTGTATTTCTGCCTGGCTATCAGTCAGAAGTGAAGTGGTTATGAAATGTATACATGAAAAATGTACCATTCTACACTGGAATCCTCTTTCTGTATTGATTCTGCCTCGAACTGTGTAAGTCAGCACGAGAGGCCTAGAAATCCACACCTCTCTCTTATTTCATCAGCTCCGTTTTATCTTGGAGCATGAGAAGTTTCTGTCTAGCTCAGCAACTGGTGAAGCAGCGGATCATCCTAGGTGGTTTCTCTGCTGTGATACTGTGGCAGGCTTCATGGTGGTTCCACTTAATAGATTGTCTCAGTTGGATGAAGTAAGAAGGAGCCGAGTATGCATTAATTGTGCAATTCATAAGAGCTGCTTCTGAGGGCATGCGTGGTCTTAAGAGTCTGGTTCAACAAATGGTATAGCGTGTGGTTTCTTCCTCTCCTCTTTTATTGTGCTGGATAGGGTTGGACAGATCGGGTGGTGCACAGTGTGACTCCTTTAGCTACAAAAGCCGCTTCTATTTCAGGTTTAGTAGAATCTGGGCAAGCCTATCGAATACACTGTTTCTGTAAGAACCTGTCAAATACTGCTATGAAATAAATGTCGGCTGCTGCGCACGGTAGACCTAACCCCCTTCCCTTCCATAACTTTCCATACACATTAGTGTTTATGCCCCCTCCCCCCTCACGGGCTGGCGCTTGGTTCCCAGGCAACTGGGGAATTGCAGGTCTCTGCTGATGTTTTCTCAACTGTTTCCTGAATCTGTATCAAGCGATGGACAGACCATTGTACCCCCTCCCCAAAGGATACAATTCACCCATTCCCAAAGCAATCGTTCCCAACAACCCTGATTTCTTGGTGCCAAAGCTAACTCTCCCTCCCACCAGACCCAAAAGGATGCCAAGCCCCATATCAATGGCCGCAAACTTGCCCCAAACAAAAACAACGGGAAAAGACAGGGAGGTCTGCCAAGCGGAGGCTTGCAAAGACTCCTGAAACGAGAGCAAAAGTTAACCCTAACCCTAAGTGTCTGGGATAAATTGCATGTGACGAACTGGAGAATGTCCAAAGCACCAGCGAAGGCTGTGCAAGAGTAAATGTTGCCTAGTGATAAAACAGTCCACCTCTCCAACCCCTGAAATCAGACTTCGAATGACTGATCAATGTAGCATAAGCTGTTCAAGGTGACAAGCAGGAGTCAAGATCAACAGAAACTGGCAGGCTGCTGAGGATGGCCCCCTCCACAGGCAGTGTGTAAGGCAACTTGGAGTTGAGAAGTCACTTTTATGACAAAGGGCTGTTGTGGCTTGAATTATCCAGCGGTCTGCAAATTATTATTGACAGCAACTGTATTCTGTTTTCACATTTCTTAAAGAGATTGCTGCATGTCTTACAGCTCAGGTCAGCTTGGGCTTCTGTTGCTTTTGGCCGCCTCGTCTGTGTCCAGCGAGGAGCTCGGTTCAGCTCTCTCCCCTTGGCCTCTGTCTCACCTTGTGTGGAAGATCTGGCATGGTGGCTAGGCTCTGGGTGGGGGTCTCTCTTCTCTTTTAGACCTGCACTTTCCCCAGCTAGGGGAAAAACTGACTGCCTTGATCTTGCTTGGAAGAAGACAGGGCGGAGAGAAACTGTCAGGCTTTCAAGGCTGTGCGACTCCACCCAACCACCCTCAAGAGCATTGCGGGCTTCTGTGACCTGACCTTGACCTTGACCTTGACTGGTGAGCGCCTGCCTGGCCCCCTCAGTGGCTTTTCCATCTCCACCACACCCAATGACCCTGAGGATGGTATGGATGAGACACCGACAAGCGATGTCCCCCTCCCCCCGCAAAGAGCATGCCATACCCAGGCTGCTCCCGCGTCAACGCGAAATTCGGGAACTCTGAATGGTGCCCAGAGACTTCCACAGCTGCCTTTCCTCAAATCTGCTGCCTTCCTCTGCTTTTTGTAGGGAGGGGAGGGGGGGTGCCTCCACGTTCAAGTGTTGAACTCCTGGCAAGGTTTTCCTTAAGTGGCTTGCCTGGCATTGCCTGCTTCCTAGGGTTGAGAGAGAGTGACTGGGCCAAAGTCACCCAGCTGGTTTTGTGCTTAAGGCGGAACTAGAACTCCGGCCTCCCGGTATCTAGCCTGCTGCTTTAACCACTACTCCAAACTGGCTCTCTCGCTCTGCTTAGGAGAACCCAGCTGGCTGCTGCAAGAGGCCATGGGACGTGAGCCATGCTGGGCTCCCTGCAAAAAGTGTTCTGGGGAAGGAGCAGTGCCCTTCCTGGGGATCCTATAGGAAGAGAAGGCAGGTCCTGGAGCAGGCTGTGATGGCCCCTACCTTGGACGGCTTTAACGGGATTGGATCCGTTCGCAGCAGTCAGACTGAACAAGAACTGTTTGTCTTGAGACTCAATGTTTCCGGTGGGTCAGGATCTCTGCGTATCACCCCTAAAAGATTGCTAATATCAGGTTGCTTCCTGCTTTTGTTCCCAGGTTTATCTATTTATGTTTGCAACATAGGGGCAGTGTGACGAAAATAAACAATAGAACAATGTTTGTCATTCATTTGAACCAAAAGTTTGGGAGAACAGCTAGGTTTTCAAGGGCTCCTTGAACATCATCTGGGTGGGAGCCATTCACATACTTGGGGTATCAGTCTTTCTGTGGGGAGATGCTGTCCCAGAGGCAGGTACTGTGACAGGGAAGGTGTACTTCCTAGGTCGTGATAGATGACACCGTTTGATCCAAGGGACTTGAAGCACACCACTCTGCCTGGTCAAACAGTGCAGACAGAAACCATCGTATGGAGGCAGTCCCTCAAATAAACAGGCCATATACTGTTAGAAGTATATTAAATCCAGTACCTCTACCTCCCACACCTGCTACAGATGGGCAACCGGCTATTGCTGGGCATATAGCATTTTTAAGAT